TAATAAATAGAAATATAGAAGGTTAACAAATATTCAAAAGATAATAATATATTATATTAAAAGTAGAGCAGTTGTAAATTATAACAACCCAACCAACCATTCCCAACATTCACAGTAATCTTCTAGGTATCTATCTTTCATTAATAACATTCTAGTAATATAACATTCCTTAAACACACACACCTAAGTACCTTTATTTACACTAGAAACTTCGTGGGAGAATTATTTTTTGTTTTTTTTTTAGACTGAGGGTTTCGGGCTACTTACACGCACCTTAACTAATTTTCGAGACCTTGAAACTATCGATCGTTTAAAAGCTCAAGTAGCCATCCCTATTAGGGCTAAGGTCAATCAAACCCAGACCTCTTGAGTAACACTCAAGGTTCTAGTTGACCACTCATCACCCAGGGGTGGTTTCTGTGGGAGAAGTTTGTGATAGGAAATTCGCTCAATTTGGTAAATCTAACAACCATGCAATCATTAAAGAAGATTTGCTACGTTAGTTAGATACTAGATCAAGAAAATAGCAAATTGGAAAGAAAATAATGTTTGTGTGAGACTCCTTAGGATTGTTTACTTATTTTTAGTTGGTCCCCCATTGGGATCTATAAAGCCTTAACCTCTAAATGTGTGGAGAAATTTAGGGTGTATCACCGTGATTTTAATGGCATCATGTTGCCTTAGATGGTGGTTCATGACACCTCAAAGATTAGAACATGAAAAGTGATCATATTCATCATAGATTTTCATATTGGCTTCTTGTGAATTAGACTAACTAATTTCTCCAACAATATCTTTGCAAAAAAAACACTTATCTCAACAACTTTATGTTTGGTTTACTATTTCAGATACTATTCTCTATCCTTTTCAAAAATACACCTTTACACAATTTCAAGTAACACTCTACAAAACCACATTTTATTAAATCTTATTCTCGTATAATAATCACATCAACTCAAATACTATTTCAAAAATCCTATCAAAAATAACAAAACAAAACACCCTTATATACATTGTTTTAAAACTCGACTTGGTCCGACCGATTGAACGTTCAACTAGGACTTGGGGCTTCATGCCACATTACCTGTTCTATTCACCAAACCCTAGAAATTGGGATAATGATCGACGAACATTGAAGGTCGGATGTTAGAGCTTTTGAAGGAAAGTGCCAGTGAATGCAATGGTGGTGACGAGTTAATTTTGATGAGTGAATCAACTAGAAATCGAAAAAAACAGGGACAGACAGAACAACAGCTTTTGCCGACGATTGGCAGGCTAATGAGGGTGGGTTTGTGGTCGGGAGGCAGAAGAGAGTATTTTCAAGGTGATGGGGAGGGTTGTCGATGCTAGTGTCGGTGAGATTAGCTTGGAATGTTGACGTTGACGTGGTGAGATCTGCCTAAATTTTCTAGGGAATGGGCTCAAGGGATGATTGAGATTGCATTTAGAGTGTTGTCGTCGCCAACCAGTCGTACGCCATTTGTATTTGAAGTGTTGTTGCTAAATTTCAAACCAGTAAAAACTGTAACTTTTGTAATTTTTAAGGGGTGTCAATCAACCCGAACCCAACAACTTTGTCGAGTTTCACCCGGTTGGGTTTTAAAACAATGTTAATACAACAACTTTTTCATGGAAGATTACTACACTATTAAACAATTCTAACAACAGATTTACACATACAAATTCTAAAAACTGTAATACAATCCTTAAAAACTGTTAAGAAAATTGAGATGATAAAGATAGAGAAGATGGCCGTGGAGGGAGCGTTAACATGGGTTTAATAACATTTGTAAAGAACAAAATGGAAAAGGTTGGGTATGGTTTGATTGAAAAAGGAAAAGAAGAAATAATAATGGTGGTTGGTGTTGGAAGGCAGCATGCTTCATTGATGGCATTAACTGTGGAGACTGTAGTCATTTTGACATTGAACTCTGGCCTACACGTCCACCAATCTCGCCCACCAAAACTCTCTGCCTTCTCTCTCTTTCGTGCATCAGTTCGTGGCAACGACCAATAAAGAGAAAATAATTTCTCTCACCTCCCTTTAAGTTAAGGAAATAACAGTTAGACCCCATAGGTAACATATTTGTTATTCATTCAGAGGGATAATAACAATCTCATCTCTGAGGTTTGACTTAAGTAGTTCTTTAGTGTAGTGTAATTTTTAGTAATTTTTGCTCTATCCATAACATTGTCTCAGTAAATATTAGCAAACTTCAAGACTAAAATGTTAATAACAAGGATCAAAACATTATCAAAAAGTTCTATGGACTTAGTTTGCTTAAGGCAAACCTTAAGGAATTTTTTTTTTTAAGGTATCTGAAGTACAAATGAGTTTGCTAATCCTCAGGCTACAAAAACTCTACACTCAATGGACAAGGTAATTATACAAATGTGATAAGTTACCTCTCCTAGTAATTCGAACATAGATCTCTAAGTATACTAACTTAGTGACTAAAAAGTTTGTATCCGACCACAAGAGTTGAGGTTTAAGGACGAAATTTTTATTTTCCTTATTTAGATAATGTGTAATAACACCATGAATTTAAGGGCAAGTATGTAAAACTCATTATTCCATGTGGATTCAAGGGAAAAATGATAATTTGATGGGAATAGAGTTAGAGGAGGTTGTTATTGATTTCAATTAGGTGCGTTAAACAGTTAGTCCTTAAGCTGAGGGGACGTCATGTAATTTGGCTAAAGAGAAAGCTAAAGCAGGACATAATTACCACCATTAAGGCAATGAGTTAAAGGTTACCAAAATTGGTCCACCCTGCCGTGACTCATGCCCTCAATTCCAAAATTTCCTTTTTCTTTTTCTAAAATATCGGGTTGTCTATTATTAATTTTTTTTAACTAAGGTGTATGTACTCATTTTTGCGATCTCAACTAATTTTGGGATTTATTGAACACCATACAAATCTAAAGGATAAGTCACAATATTATTATAGTACTGGTAGGTCTCCAAGTTTGAACCTAAGAATTCAAACCTGCTTAACGCCGGCCAACCCATAAAATTAAGTATACATAATATGATAGACTAATATAATATAAAATTTATAAATTGTATTTGAAGTAGAAGTAGAGTCAACATTAAATAGTATAATATTTTAATGTAATAAATTATATATATTTTTTTATTAATATTAACACGGTAGTTAATACAACACAACAGTAGTTAAAATCAAAATTAAGATTCTAACTTAGCTTATATAATATAATAAGTCTACGACAATGAAAATTGTTCTAATAATCATCCCTTTATCTAGGGGATTCTTAGAAAAATCATTAGAAAAACATTTATAATCTTAAACCTCGGATTATATATCCAGAAGCATATCAACGACTTCTTAAACTACAATCAGTCTAAGTTCAGAAGGCTTTTATAATCTGAGGCCTCTATGGCCTCAAGCTGTGGCTCGAGAGCCCCCAAGGCCTCTAGTGGCTACCACAAGGCCTTAGAGACCTCCAACTTAGCCAGGGGTCGTTGGAGGTGGGACGCTAGAACGCAGAGGGTGGTTGCACAATTAGGGTGGTGACAAATCTAGTTGGATGATTAGGGGGTGTTTTGTTATTTGTCAAGGGTAAAATGTCTTTACACCTCTTAACAGATTTTTCTAACGGAACCGAACAAAATGGGGTTAGGCTCCAATTTCCCAAACGAGCAGGTTCTTGTGATTCCTCAAAGCGCGGGGTTTCATATTTCCCTATATATATATAAACACTAACTTGTAATAAATAATTTTTGTACACGTAAAAAGTATAGTTTTTTATTTTTAATGTAAATACACATCAATTCCGAATTCCAGTACAGTCAAAGAAAAAGCTTAACGCAGGATGTCTCCATGTTAAAAAGCCTTCAACTTCTCCTGTGGAAAGTGGAGACTCTTCTTCATCCAACACTCCATCTCAGTTCACTCATGGCTGAACAAAATCCAAATCCAACAGCCTCAGTTTCATTTACCATCTTATATTGACTACTTTTCTATGCTTCTTTCATGGCAAGTCATCTCAGTTTGGCCTATACAACAACGGGCTGTGGCTCAACGAAGACGATAATGAAGTTAACATGGCCCAAACCAGGCGTCAAACTTCCAAGAGTTGTGATTATACGGCCGGTAAATGGGTTTATGATCCCTCTTATCCTCTTTATGAACCAGTTGCCCATATCTTAGTACTGCAGTAAGCTGCCAGAAAAATGGACGTCCGGATTCTGAGTATCAGAAGTGGAAATGGAAGCCGCATTCTTGTTCCATTCCAAGGTATTTTTCTTCAAAAGTTTGTATTTTTCTCTGTGCTAAAGATCAGAGAGGCTTTGTGTTCAAGACCCTCTTTGTAGAAGCAAAATTTGATGATTACTTGTGTAATTTGTCTTGATTTTTTATCATGGGAAGAAATATGATGATGAATGTGAAACTTTGCCGCCTATTCTTTTCAATTCCAAGATGTTTTTGCTTCAAAAGATGTATTTTTCTCAGTGTTAGAGATCAGCTAGAGGGTTTGTGTTCAAACCCTCTTTTTTAGAAGCAAATGTTGACAAACGATGCATTTTAGCTGAGAATGATTTTTCAAAATGGCAACAAATCTCTAAATCAAACGTACAATTTTTGTCCATTTACTTTTGAACAATAATCAACTCTTTTAGGAAGGCCAAAAAAAGTTTGGTACAACCTGTACATGGCAAAAATCCAAGAGAACCAAAAAGAAAGGAAAAAAAAAAAAACTGAAGCCCTTAACGTAATTTATAAAACATGTACAATTTCTATCTGACTCAATACCAAGATTAAAAAAAAAATACTTATTTTTGGCACACGTCCACACCTGAATGCTAACAGTAAGATTGATCTTCATTGACATATAATTGTTTGAACTGTCTCGTACTCATACGTGATAGAAGATAACCAGAAAACAGAAAAGTATATGCCAGGTTCACATGTTATGTAGAAACACTAATAAGACAAATTCAAGGGTCAACTGGTATATTGTAAGCAGCATTATAATTACCGGGCCTTATTAGAGCCATCCAACACGTTTGCTTTAAACCGTTTTAATTCCTCGGTAGCTACCGCAAGGGGAGGCTTTGCATGAGCAGCTCCAAAAGCATTTTCTTCTGCAGTGGTCCCAAGAGACGGCCCCAACGCTTTCCTTATCAGATCACCTAACCGTGTATATTTTTGATCAACCATTGTGATAGGATCCAATGTTAACCACTGAGATAATGACGGAACATCCCCTGTTGGCGTAGCCATCCCTCGAGACATACTGCTCACAGAACTAAACATTCGGCTCTCACTCCCCTCCAGGAAGCTTCCAGACCTATCCAATGAATAAATCCCCCGCTGTCCATTTGGATAGTTCCCTGAAGATGCCAAATCTTCCGGACTAGCTGAACTAGACTCAAATCTCACATTTCCCGCCATAACTCTAATTCAACACATATCTACAAAAAGGTTTAATTAAAAAACAAAAAAAAAAAAAAAAAACATTTTAGTGACTCCAACACAGCAAATCCGTCAAACATGGAGCAAAATTTCAACATATAGACCACAACTAAAAGTACCCATATGCCAAAATTAGTGTCAATACTTGCTTATTAATATGTCTTTCTTCAACTCAATATGTCAGAAAATTTCACCCAACATAATAAGCGCTAAATGTTTGCAAGTACAATAAAACTGTACAACAAAAGAGAACAAAAGTTTAGCCATATCATTGAGCTTTCAAAAAGTTACTTTAATTAAGCTAAAACTAGCATTAACCAAAATTTTCCTTCTCTGATTCCAAATAAATCGACATATCTTCAAACTAATTAAAATAATTCTCAACATTCTCAAATTAAAAAATTGTCAAACATAAAAGCGAATCCCAGCAATCAAACGAGCCTTAAGGCTTAACTTCAAAACAATTATCTACAACATTAGCACAAATCGAGAAACCCCCTAAAATTAAACCTCCAAACAGCATTTAAGCAAACAAAACTACTAAAGTTCAAAGCAGAATATCAAAACAAAACAAAATTCAGAATTCGAAAAATCGCGATATACAATACAAAACGACAAAAGAATGCAAAATTCCCATAAGCCCAATCCGTATATTGCTTCTTACTTACGAACAAGCAATCCCCAAACTTCTCTGTACTTCAAAACCCTAATTCGAGCAACGAATTAGGGTTTTGCAAAATTCACCCGAAATTAAACCCTACAATCAAGTCGAAAACCCAACAATTGAAAAATTCGAAGCTAAAATTACACAAAACGTACCGGCATTGACCGATCGAGCACGAAACGAGATCGTATTGTAGAGAGAGAAACTAAAAAAGGGTTTTTTTATAGAGAGAGAAAGTACATAGTTACTAAAGAGATTCTTCGGACAGAGAGAGAAAGGGGCAAAAAAAAAAACAAGTGGGTCCCGAGAAAATTTAGGGGGAGAGTAGGGAGAAGTATAGAGCAGATGAAATCAGGACCGTTGGTTTCTTTATGAAGCGTAGATCGCAAGCGTTGGATCAGGCTAATTGGGAGTGGGGTCCTTTTGAATTTTTAGATTGTGAGATTGTGATGGTGAAATTGTACTTGAGGAATATACTATTTTTGCACCTGGGTTTTTGTAGCAAAAGAATGGCTGGAATGATTATTTTTATTTTTATATTATATTATTTTTATTTTTGGAAAGAAGATGAGGTGAGAATTTTTGAAAAATTAGAGAGGAAATTTGGAGTAAAAAGTGCTCGTATTTTTTTTGGTTGGGACCAAAGCTTAGGGATCAAAAAGGTTACTAAAATTGACTTCGGTTGACTTTGGAGGTGTTGAATTGAATGTGTGGATAGGGTGATTTTGTATGGTTGGTCACCTATTTGGAATATGTTGATGTTTCAAAACTACCCTCAGACTCAAATTTCATCAAAAGAAAGTTGACGTTCAAGGATATCTGAGTCATTTAATCTGACATATTTTACAAAAATAAGTGAGGATAAATTAGTAAGTTTATATAAATTTCAACTTTTTGATTTAATTGTCTTATAAGACTTTTAGGGTTTTTTTGTTTTTTTTTAATGATTTCTTGTAAAAATACTAGTGTTTTAAAACTCAGTCCGGCCGATTGAACCTTCAACAAGACCTAAGGCCTTCATCGAGTCGAGTTACAAATTTTCTTATTCATTGAAAACCTTAGAAATTAGGACATCAATCCGTGAACAATTGAAGGTTGTAATGTTAAGAAATATCATGTGTTATACACTTTTGGTTTATGAAACTTTCGCACTAGCAGATAGCAATATGAGATTATTTATATGGTATATTCTCTTTCGCTCACATTTATATAATTATATGGTATAATCATAAACTTGATTAATCTGTTATGTAACTGTATTGTTGATAAAAATTACGAGTAAATTCTTAGTAAAGTCTTCATGATAATTTAAACATTACTTGTGATACATTTGAGTTGTCTTGGTACTACAATTTTCTATTGATGGGCGTATACGTATATAATTTAATTACTTAGAAGATTAATGTTGATATTTAAACTTATTGTTAAGATATTGTTGTATTTTTATCTCTTACTTACCTTAAACAGTGGGACTTAGAGCACATTACTCTTAATTCAATAAAAAAGCTCAGGACCCCACTTTAATCATCTAATGTGAAACTTGTAGATGCAAAAAACCTACCGTCATAAAAATAGGGTCTGATCCCGTGAGGTTGAGACCACTGACAATCCACTAGACCTGCACACATGAAAGGACAAGCGTGAAGCTTACGGAAAACATCGGGATGGTGTTTGCCGTAGGTACTCCGACGCTCAAGTCAACAAGGCTGAAAGGGATTATTTAATAAGAATTAAGGAGAAGAAGGATTACCAAGAGTCTTGTCGAAGGCTAGGACTACGGCGGAGGCGTCGAATTCTTGGAAACAAGAACTTTAGAAGCAAATAGATAGTTTTGAGTAGTCTAAATTGACTATGGGAGATTCCTCTTTTATAAGAGGGCAAACCTTTGTTTATATAGTGAACCCAAGGAGTTGGAATCTTAGTAGGACACTAAGTCCTATTTTGGGAGATAATCCCTATCAAGAAAGAAATATGATTTCTTGACTTTATCAGATTAAGTTTAATAATTTAAACAAGATTTGGAATCTTAGTAGGACACTAAGTCCTATTTTGGGAGATAATCCCTATCAAGAAAGAAATATGATTTCTTGACTTTATCAGATTAAGTTTAATAGTTTGAGTAAAATTTAGAATCTTAGTAGAAGAGAAGATAGAATGGGATTCTGATTTCTTATTTATGGACTGTTGCAGGCTAATGGGTTGAAACCCACTTTGACTTAACTTATAGGATAGCCCAACTCATAAAGTGGGTAGTTCACAAGGTGATTTTAAGCGTAGGCCCAATCGAGATTGGGTTGAGGTCTTAGGCCGTGACATGTTTATTTTGTTATTGGGCCTTGTCAGGCTCAAGACAATTTTTGGCCCTAACAGTTAGCCCCCCACTCTCTAAGTTAATGAGTATTTAGCTTAGAGAGTAAATTTAATTGAATGAGTGCGAACTGAGCAAATTAGTGCTAGCAGATCGTTAGGTCGGATGGACCGTTGTTTGGAGAAAGTTTACTCGACCAACCTAAGTTAGGAGGAGTTTGTTCGACCAACTTGATTTGGGAGGTATTTGTTCGACCAACTTGAGTTGAGAGGAGTTTGCTCGACCAACATGAGTTGGGAGGTGAATGCTCGACCAACCTGAGTTGAGAGAAGTTTGCTCGACCAAACTGAGTTGGGAGAGGTTTACTCGACCAACCTAAGTTAGGAGGTGGATGTTCAACCAACCTGAGTAGGGAGAAGTTTGCTCGACCAACCTGAGTTGGGAGGTGAATGCTCGACTAACCTGAGTTGAGAGAAGTTTGCTCGACCAACCTGAGTTGGGAGATATTTGTTCGACCAACCTGAGTTGGGAGAAGTTTCTCGACCAACCTAAGTTGGGAGAGGTTTACTCGATCAACCTGAGTTGGGAGATAAATGTCGACCAACTTGAGTTAGGAGGTGAATGCTCGACCAACCTGAGTTGGGAGAAATATGGATGTTCGCTCGACCCACTTGAGTGGGGAGGTTGAGTATCCTGGAGAGTATGTTGTTCCTTCCATAGGTGTAAGAATGTGTGAGTCATAGCGCTCTATCGAATCACTTAGAGATGGCAATGTGTACCTCCCACTTGCCTCAGCTCATGTTGATGATTAAACAATGTATGCCAAATAGAGCTTGTCTGGAGCTTGTGATCGAGTACTTGTAGTTGAAAATCAATGTATTGGGCCTTGTGGCCGAGTTGATGTAAATTGATTGAAGGTGAACATTGTTTTTTGTTGAATAGTACTTTTATTGAGTTGGGAGGAATACTAAACCAAATGGAGAAGTAAAATGCATGGGATGCATGTGTTCAAGTAATAAGTTAAATGGAGAAAAAATAAACCAAATTGAGTGCAAGTTAAGAGGTGAAGTAGTATGCATGGCAGCATGGCGTGTATGTGTAATAAACCAAATGAATAATAAGCCAAATAGAGAAAGAAAAAGACAAATGGGGGTGAATGCTTATACTATGTGATTAACAAAAACTAAGCAAAATGAAGTTTTTAAGTAAAGCATACCAAGGAAAATGGTGCGCATGCCTAATTTGCTAGAGTGGTTTGATTCTGGTAAGCCGTGCCGAACGATTTGATCGTAGCAGAATCAAGGGCGACTGCTGTGAACTTAGCTTTTATAGGGGAGATCCAAGCTGAATGACCATTGTGTAATGTGCATTTTAATTAATGCATGTGCAAATGATGGTCAGAATAGTAAGGTAATTGATTCGGCTTCACCCCTTTAGTTGAAAAATGGACTCACATGGACCATTTTAAAATGGCTTTACTCTTTAGTCTTTATGACATGTGGTCCCCACATGATGCACTTGTTTTAAATTAAAAATAAAAACTCTTAGGCTGGGAAAATGAGAATTTGTAGAACTTTTCTATGCAAAAAATCTTCAGCCGCTTTTCCTTTCAGGTAAAATCTTATAATATTTTTTATTTCTTTCCCTTTCAAGTGTTGCCACTCGTGCTTGCTAGATCGTGTCTCACTCTACATATCATCAAGTTGAATCTTTCAATTAAGTTGAATCGTTGTTGCAAGCATTGACTCAGCCATGTGCTGAGCTTTTGGCTATGATACCATGGCCACAATGAGTAACCCGAGTGATAGCTAATGCGAGTGCTTGTGGAGATTTGGGTTGGAAAGCGGATTCATTGCTCGTTAGTGAAGTGGAGATTTAGATTTTCTTTGGTGGTAATTTCGCCGGAGATCGTGGAAGCAGCAGAGAAATTTACATTGAAGAGGAGGAATAAGGGAGAGAAGAGGTGAAGTTTTTATTTTATTGTTCTAAACACACACAGAGAATGTTGATGTCGGTGCTGGAGTTGGCGGTTGTGGCGCTGGAGATGGTGGCTTTGATGATGTTGGTGTAGGTGCTTGTAGTGTCGTGTTGTGGAGGTGGAGGGTGGGTGGATAGTGCTGGGGAGGGAGTGTCACTTGGATGGAAAAGGCGTCCAGGTTCAGGTGATAGTAGCGTACCTGGGTAAGAGCGAAATGGGCAGTATTAGAGGTAAGGATTCAGAAGTAAGAAATGAATGCACGACGATGACGGTTGCCACTAGGTGGCGATGCTGTGGAGTGGCGAAGGTGGCATAATGGTCCATCAGTTGTTGTCGGCATTGGGTTTGAAGAGGAAAAAGATAAAAGACGGCAAGAGATATGGAGTAAAGTATGAAAGGAGACGTGATTTTCCAGTTTTGTAAGGAAGAAAAAGTGACTATATTCGTAAAGAGAAACAGTCTGAGAATTGTTATACAGGAAAAATAAGGTCATGTTTGGATGTGGTGAGGGTTTTTAGATTGCTGAATAGATATAATATAAATGACATGTGAATAGATAAAACAAATGAAGAAAGGTAAAGAATATTTTTTCTTATCGTGATGAAACTTTTTGGTTAACGATGTTAGTCAGGTAGAGTTTTGTGCCTCCTCTCATGTTGCAAGTCGTCATTAGCAGATGATTGTCAGGGCTCTACGATAGATGACAAACTGTAGATACAAAAAATCTACCATCATGAAAATAGGGTATGATCTCGTGAGATTGAGGCCACTGACAATCCACTAGACCTACACACATGAAAGGACAAGTGTGAAGCTTACGAAAAACATCGGAGTGGTGTTTGTCGTAGGCAATCCGATGCTCAAATTAGCAAGGCTAAAGGAGATTATTTGATAAGAATTAATGAGAAGAAGGATTACCAGGAGTCTTGTCGGAGGCTAATACTATGGCGGAGGCATCGAGTTCTTAGGAATAAATAGATGG